TAATCGATTAGTTGGAGAAGACAAAAAGGAAAGTGAAATACCTATTCGAGTACGCTCGGCTTGGGGAAGAGCTCCGATAGGGGTAGTTGGCCCATCAGTTGTGAGCTTACCCAGCAAAGAGCTGTACCAAGTAAACATTAGATTTATTTCTCTTCTGCGTCTTTAATCACTTCTACAGTATGTCATACAACAGGAAATTTTAAAACGTGCTAAAGATGGCGAAAGAGGGCAGAGATAGAAATTGTCATGTATACAGACTAGCAGCCACAGTAACCTTCAAACTTGCCCGGATTCATCTTCTTCATCAGTAGCGTATTTCAGCGGAGTAATACTGTAACCTTGGCGATTGCGACAATTTTCCAGTTCACCGTATTCCCTTTGCAAGTTGTCAGCAGCTCTGCGTATATCCCGATAGAGCAAGTCAACGTGCTCCCGAAGAGCGGAGGGGTTGGCACTAAATATTACTGGTTGAATATCTGATCAATATATCAACCAAATTTCGATTTCTTACCCACTAGGTAGATTTTCAATGTTTACAAGTGTGTCCGTCATCTCATTCATACGCTTCAACTGTTCGTCATAAAGCGCGCGCAACCGCACAGCTATTTTGTCCTGAAAATCGATATATTGATTTTTTGCATAACTGGCAAAAGGACTGACAAGAAGGCCGAGTTTCAATTTCTTAATCCTCCAACCTCTTCTCCACATAGCGGATGCTGTTCAAAGGAAACGGTGCCCAAGAATATATCCAACTGGACATAATCGCTACCACGAATCTCGTCCACAAATGTCTCCCATGGCTCCGCCTTCACGTAGTTGTATAATATTTCCTCTTTTTGGATGGTCTTAAACAATATTTACTTTGTCGATCGATTGATTATTTACTGCTTACCTTTAAAGGTTTCACAAAGTATGACTCGTCAATAGTGCGTAATTGGCCATTAGCGAAAAATGCTGGAGACAGCCGCTGCGCCATTTTCGATGTCGTCATTGTTCTAAAGTTTT